AAAAATATTTAAAAAAGAACCATATACTTAAAGTGTTGGCATATGATAAGGGAATTAAGGCTCCAAAAGAAAAGAAGGAAGCAATGTACAAGGGGATTTGTATAAGTAATTATGAAGCTTTAAAAAGAGTAATCAATGACTAAGTAACTCAGCATTCATATTCATCATAAGGGTATGCATATTTTAGGGTGACATCTAAAATATCTATACATGAAGAAGCTCATATATTCAAAGGATTGACTTTTGCAAGATGACTGGATCATAATAGTTCAGGCTTTGTCAGTGGACCAGTCCAATGGTGAGATCATAATGGGATGGCATTATTGGGAAGAGGCAAACATAGGAAGTGGGACCTAGTGGCTCATGAGGAATGACCCGAGGAGGATATCTTCCAGGTCTCTCTGTCTCTGTCTGTCTGTGTCTGTCTGTCTGTCTGTCTGTCTGTCTCTCTCTCTCTCTCTCTCTCCCCCCTCCCCTTTTCCCCTCCCCTTCCCTCCTTTCTCACCTCTCCTCCCTCTTTTCCCCCTCACCCCTCCTTCCCCTTACCCCTCCTTCCCCTCTCCCCTCTTTCCCCTCTCTCACCTCTCTCCTTTCTCTCCTAGTTCTGGTCACCACGGGGTGAGCAGCTCCCCTGTGCCATGCTCCTCTACTGTGCTTCTGCTTCTGCCTCACCACAGGCCCAAAGCAATGGAGCCAGCTTACCACAGACTGAAAGCTTTGAAGCCATGCATGCACCAAAGTAAACCTTTGCTCCCTAAAGTTAAAATATCTCCTTTACATCAGGTATGTTGTCACCATGACAGAAAACTAACAGTGCATATGATTTGTGTCATGAGAGCAGGAATCTTAATGACTATAAGTGACACTTGAATAGTAGCTAAAAATCATATCAGTTCTTTTCTCAACTTTGGCATAATTTCCTGCAGTTTAAAGGGAAAGGGGGAAGATTTTCTTTATAGATTGCTACAGAAGAAGTTAAGTTCCCTTTCACACAAATTTTTAGGTCTAGGTTAAAAGATAATTTATCAGAAATTAATATGGCTTTGTGTCCCCAAACTTCATATAATACAGCTGTACCCTTCCCAAAGCTATACCTCA